CCTCTGCAAGCTGATTAGCCCTGCTCTCTGCTACACCATGTTTACCCTATTCACCTTTCTGCAATATATCCTCTTAAATGTTAACACCATCGCCGCTTGGCCCCTTAAAGCCAATCTGGTCTCATAACATTAAATAAGCCGAAACCGTACCGTAGTTTCTGTCTTTCTACAGAAGAAAACACAGCCGATATGTGCCATTGTTGTTGGGGCCAGAGTTTACTTGCGGCGACTGTAGACAACTGAATAAGCGTGTAACTTAATAAGAAAGAAAAATATACTAAGATAAATAAATCAATATACACACACGGATACACAGCAACTCATCAAACACTCGGTGACATGTCGCCGTACTTTATTCTACACTGATACTACAGCGTCATAAGTTCACACACACCAAGACACGACACAACACAACTCGTTCGCTTTGTTGTTACATCGTTCTCAGGGCTAACCGTCCTGTAGAAATGGAAGTGCTTATTAGTAATAAAACAAGAAGACGTGGATGGAGTCGAAAGAGGGATAAAATGTGAATGAAAACAATATGAATAAATACATTGATATGTAAGAAAGGAAGAACTATTTAAAGGTGTTATATAAACATACCAATGCTTAATATGAAACAATGTTCGGTTATGATGATATTGGTAAGAGGCTAATAACCAGACATGTGGTAATTGTATTACGGGATATAATTAGCTTGCTTTCAGATTAGGTGTTTTTTGTTTGGATAAGAATACTTAACACTTTGTGACATTTCAGGAAGTATTGTGGAATAAGCATTTGAATATGAGATTTTAATGCCTGATCCCGGGCGCTGTGAACTACAGCAGCTAACAGTATGTCGGAGGCGGTCCTACTGCATTAAGATAACACTGTTCCAAGAGATCAACAGTTTTACATTAATTGCACTATGGAATGTTACATGATATATACTTTTCGGTTGTGCAGTGATCCCGGCATCAATGCCGCACACCTGGCTGCCTTCTGATGGAGAGAGATTTCTGCTGGGATGGCTGTCGATCCAACAGTAACCAGACAGTGGAACACAATACACCATCGAGTCTGCTGGCAAGTTTTTTGTGCAGAGTTTTCAGTTTGTCTGGTGCAAATCATACACAGAACAAGTTATTCTCAGGCCCAACACCCTTCTTTTCATACGCTACGGAGCAGGTCAAGACCATACCCTTGACTCTAAGTACAGTTGACCGTGTTATCCACAGGAAATTATATTTCCATTGCAATAAACTTCAGTTTTTCTTCATTTGAACAGACATCTCTCATATTTTATTTTAGCAGGTACCTACTCTGTTATTACAGGTACAGAAGCAGACAATATGAAGAGGAATTACTTTTATCAATCCTCAGTGGGGGAAATTCCATTTTTTCACTCCTGGGCCCAAACACACAGATAAGTTCAGATATGCAGCAATATTTCTCAGTTTGCCTTCAGGAGCTCTGCACCTGTAAAATAGCAGAATCACATTCAATCTTTTGATTATATGTAAGTGGATATTAGGTGCATTTGCATGAAGACATACAAGCTGTACATGCAATTTCAACAAGCGTTCCTTCTGGTGTCTAGCACATATACACGGGCGGTATAATGGCAGTTATTCCAGAACTTTAGGGGTCATCAAAATGTGTCTGTTATGCATTTCTGTATTTATATCATCTCACCATCTTTCACCACCCCGCAGTACTCCTCACACTCAGCCTTGGTGTAGAACTTGTTAGCGTTGGTTTGGCAGTAGCCCCCTTTGTAGGGCACACACAGACCGGCGGTGGAGTCAAAGGCCCAGATAGGTGGCTGGCCTGTGCAGGGTTGGGCTGCCATGGGCAGACGACACACAGCTGGGGAGAGACAACCGAGAAGTGTTGATATTTTCATGCGTTTCCAAGGTTTTTCCTTTTTTTATTTTTCTCAGCTCACATCTGAGCATTGTAACAGGCAATAGTACTTCAATCTGGCCAACAGATGGGAAACCCAATCCCTTGTATTGTATTTGTAGGTGGGAGACCAGTGAGGAATCATGTTCCTGTCCCTGCATCAGCAACTTCTACTGGTTGGTAAAAAGAAGTGGCTGCAACTACATGCGTTTTTGGTGTCTCCATCCTCCCCATCACAACCCCAACAGCAGTTAGTTAACATGGAGAAATTGGAAATTTGGAAGAAAAAAAGATTGAGATAGAAAGTGAAGTATTGCACTTATACAGAATACATTGGCAAAAATAATGATGCTGCATGTATTGTACAATCATTCCCATAAGCAGATATTTTGTTTCCATATTTTACTCCTCACCCTCAGTGCGACATCTCTGCAGACACTCTCTCTCATTTTCAAAGTTATTTTGGTTGCCCATACACCCTCCATACTTGAAGAGTTCACAGCTCATTGAAGAGGAGTTGTAGAAGTAACGCTGATGAAGCCCAAAACAAGGTCCAGTATCTGGTGCTGCTTTACAGGACTCTACAATGGGAGAGGGAGGGAGAAAAATTACACAAGGACGGACCCATTAGCTGCAGATCTCTTATCTTCCACTCATCATACAGTAATATCAAAGCGTATCAGGGTTTCAGCAGATCACTAACCCGTTCCATTGAAAAAAGGTTCATCACCAGAACCCTCCTCTTCTGCAACAGTCAAAGAAGGCACCACATTTCTCTTCTTTCGCTGTATGACAGTCACAGATCATTAGACATACAAAGCCACCTGAGCCCCAAATATTCCCCTTTAAATCTGCCCTGAGTCTGCTTCAAAATCCTTTGAGACAGAAACACATATCAAATTACATTTTTGTATAGTTGTCTTGCAAAGCAACAGCATTAACTATATATCCCACATTACTGTAATGCAGCAATAATTTTACACTCTGAACAATAGACAATTTTTAATAATTTACCATTATTTTTATTTATTACATGTACAATGTATACATTCTGGCACCAATACATTGTATAGTTTTAAATGAGGAAAATCCATTATTTATATTATGCTAAAACATGATACTTCTTCCATCACATTTACATTGTTTCATTATTTTACTCTTCTACTGGGAGCACAGTAGTAGTCTGTCTAGATTCTCTTTGGAAGGACATGTCACCATGAAATAATTTTTTATGCCTGAAATAACATTTAA